TCTCTTATTTAGCCATTAAAACCACACACGATCCTCTTTCAGGTTTCAGGAATAATGTTATCAGATCTTGCAAGTAATTCCTTTAGGCCTTTGAAGTGCGTCGAACTCAAAATACTCTATTTTGTTTCCGACTTAAATGACGGAATTAATGTGCTGCATCAGTAATTTGAGCATTTTGACCAGCTTCGGTCATCTCTCGATGTAGGAACTACAAATCTCAGTTTATTACACAAGTTTTCAAACTGAGAATCAATTGCTTAGTCTGCAATATTATTTAATGGGATTGAAAAAGTTGATACCAAGTGGTGATAGCACCGCCTTGTGTACTGAAATTTCTACTGATGACAGGTTTATCACATACTTATCAGGATTTAGTGGAAATCGGTCAAATAAAATCTATAACAAGTTCTATTTTGGGTCATTTGATCGTAAGCGGTCACCAAGTCGGCAAACATAGTGCCTTCAGAGTTATCTATGGCATTCCATCTCGAGCTTTTCGAACGGAATTCGAATCCGTCTTTTACACATAGCCGAAGCTATGGGAATTAATTCGAGAGAACAATCCCAGTGCCTTTGCATACAACAAAAGAAGTTTGTTCTACCTTTGTCTCTCCCTTGCTTAGCCTAGGTGAATTCTATTCAAAACCCTCCCACCCTTTCTTATTTTCCATCTCCTTCGTATTTACGTGTTATTTATTTGAACTCTGATTATCTGTCCACTTCACCTTTAGTATTGTGTAGCTTTTAAGATTTGATCTAATTTATTTATTATTACTACTATATTATATTACTACCTTATTATCAATATTTTGTTATCATTATAATCATCGTTATTAACTACGTTCAAAACATTTACCACATTATTATTATTCGATCTACAAAATTATACAATCATATATATATATATATATATATATATATATATATTATATTTTTGAACGCAGTAAATGGAGTCACGAAAAATACCCATTTATTCATAAGTAAAAACACTGTTTTTTTGTTCACCGAAGAAATTTCTTTTCAACGACTTCATTTTCAAGCTGTACAGTCGTATTTTTATATTACAGAAAAAGGTTATTAAGTGGCACTAAATAATTGCACTAAATAATATATATATATATATATGATAAGAATAACGATAATTAAAATTTTATACAGGGTAGAGTTGAAATGGATTGATTACAAAATAAATGGAGTCCTATGTAATCCATATATTTCCTATTAGAATTTGAACGAACTTTTTCTGTACACAGAGATCTGGCTTTTCTGTTTCGATAGCCAAAGCTTCAGCAATACAAATGAGTTGGGTATGTAGGGATTTGGGTAAATTACCCTTTGCCTTGTAGATGACTTTAAAGGCGGAGGCTATAGAGATAGGGGTGAGATCATTATCGACCAGATGTTCAATGATCGCGCTTCTTATTGCTCCACTTCCACCTCTTCGTAACTACCATGCAGGATAGTGTTCTTGCACCCTTTTAAACAAAACTCGAGTCGAATGATCGATATGCCAAGCTCCACACGAGCAGGTGAATTGATAAACACACATAGAGTTGGTCAACAGCGGGATCTTGTCCTTCAGGTTATTGAACAGTAATGGTCTACTAGTAAAGGCTATTCTCAGAGATGCAGCAGGGAATGTTCTTTTCAGGGACTGTGATATCCTTCGTTTCATGATATCGGAAGTTAAGTTCCCTTTGAATCACAAGCTCATGTAAAGTATTTTCTTGGATACGGTTGATAAGTCACGTTTTATAGGATTTGAATGTATATTCTTATCTATAAAACGTGGTGGAAATCCACTTTCTATTAGGATTTTCCTCAAAATGTATAACTCATCTTCCACAGTATCAGGGCTACATATGCACCGAATTATTCTATATTTGACATTAATTTTCTTTGACATTTAACTATGAGTATAATCACAAACATTTTAGTTTTTAATTGCATTTCATACTACTATTATTATTATTTTATGCATTCACGCCTATGATTCAATTCCCTCACCGGATATAACTTCTTAAAAACCATATACATACATACAATTGTACAGCTTAATGATCAATTTGTTGAAAAGAGTCTCTTCGCTGAATCAACTGTTTTCATTTTCTATCTGTTACAATGTGAATTTTCCATGAGTTAAAAAGACTAACTGTCAGTAGATCGTTTGGCAGACTTCTTACTATCTGACCAATCTATTATGCTCTCGCTTCTTCTTTTTCTCCTTCGAGAAATACTTGACATTTTGTTGTTGTTGTTGTCGTGCGTCGGTGGCATAGCCGTTAGGACGCCCGCCGGCCATGAACATGGCCCGAGGTTCGATCCCCTGCCGACGTACACCTGATAACTATGGTCGGCCTGCGAAATTTGGGCTACCGATATCCGTGCTGAAAATTCCATACTTGTACCAAAAATACAGTATGGAATCAAGCTGTAATCAAAAAATAAAAAATACTAATTATGGAAGGTTCAGGAGTATATTTTTTGTGAACCAAGGACACAACTCAGGAACGATCATCTCATGTATTGGGATAAGTTCCCGTCCATCTATGATAATGCTTATTGACACGTTTAATTAGAAATTTGCAAATCAGCAGGTTGTAAATGTGTTTTAAATGTTCTCCAGAGTCAACAATACTATTAGAGATCATATTTTACTGGATTTAAACAAACTGAATAAGAGGAAGTATATGCAATATATTGACGGCGGTTTTCGGTAACTTAAATTTTCATACACAGGCCGCCATACTTTCGGGAATATATAAGACTGATAAGCCAAAATTTCTAAAAGTCAAACAATCAGATTGCTTGAAATGTATTAAGCAAATATATCACAAAATTCTCAAATAATCTCCGTCTTCTTATAGAAACTATCCAAATTTTGCTAGTGGGACTAATTTTGAGTGGGTATCATGAAATCTTCATTGTGTGTCAGTACTCATCGACAATACATCTTTGGTATTAAAGAAATCCATCTTTAATAAGCTACCATTCATGGGTAATCAAATAATGCAGTCGATAGGTCAGTTGCTTCTATCAGTTATCGAGCAGACATACTATACTGTATCCCATTTCCTTACCTTTTGGAGATTCTCCTTCTCTCTGCCCACAAATGAAGACTGGAATTCTGTGAACCTTATTACAAATTGTATCTACAAGTTCACCTGCGGTCGTAGGTATATATATAACCTGAATAGATCTCCAGATTTATCACAATCACGAAACATTTATTAATGTAGTAATTGCAATTGCGGAAGCTTGTGCTATTCGAATTTATAAACCAGGTGTCTGTATACAAAAGGAAATGGTCGTCACTATGAATATAACATGGTAATGCGTTTTACTTAATAACTATTATCATTATTATTATTAACACTTTGTTCTACCTATCATTATTATTGTTCCCTTGGGTTCCTAGTGGAATATAGGGCTTCAATTACACGTCTCCACTTGCTTCTGTCTTCTGCTGTACTTTTCACCTGCATCCTTGTTAGTCCATACTGTTTCAACTCCTCTTCACACGATCTCCTCCATGTCACCCTTGCACTGACGACCCACTCGCCGCTTCCCTTTCGGCCTGGTTCCGTTCGAGCAATAGCCTGACGCGCGATGTCACCCAGTGGCGGCCTCCTCAGCGAGTGTCCAATCAATTCATCTCCATTTTCTCCTGCATATATGTTGGTTGGCGATTGGTTCTTGTTTTGTTTGTCTGTTCCCAGCCATAGTTTCTTGTTGGTGATTGTTTCTGGCCCGACCATCTGATCTTCAGTATAGAGCCAGCGAAGACAGTTGTTTGTTGATAAAGGTATGGTCTGCAACAGGCTGTTGGAAATATTCTTTGTGACCCGCCAGCCAAGTTTCTGATCCGAAACACTTTATTCTACCTATTATTATTATTATTATTATTATCATTCCTGATTCATTTAAAACTATCTTTTATCACTAGCATTATCTTGACTCGTTTCAGCATTATGACCATAACTATTACTATTAATATTGCTCATTTTTAGGAATCCTGGATGCATTTAATTTATTTTTCTGATGACTAATTCTTTATCTGAGTGATGTAATTGAAGCGTGTTGCATTTTACCGTAATTTGAATGTCTCGTACTCCCTTCCCCCACTTATCTGTCTGAACATGACCTGAAAAACAGTCCCACGTATCGTTTTCCATGATTAATTCAATGCAGTTTGTTTACTTATCAGTCCTTTATCACCCAATGTATTTCCAATGATATGTAAATATATATCCCTGTATATAGGGTATTCAGCTGAAGAAGTCTACCGAAATTTGATAAATTCATTAAATCCTGCCTTATTAACCTTTGTTGCTTGTTTTTTTTTTAAAAAGATTCGTATCGGGAAATAACTGTTATGTTAATTTATTATTGTGTGGTTATACAAAATCAATAAAAATGGCTGTTTCTCAGTGATAACTACGCATAAGCGTAATTTTAAGGATTTTTCAAGGTGATGAAAGTGCTTTAGATTAATCACACGGCATGGCCTTCATAATATGTGAAGAAAAAAATTAATGAATTTCCATGTTTTTCTACCCTGGATTACTTTAACCTATTAGAATGTGACTCTGAGAAAACAAACCATCAAATGAGTGACATCACACGAGTGGAACCCGAATGGGAAGCGGTGAGTTGGTTGTCAGCGCGAGGGTGACATAGAGGAGGAGGAGGAGGTGGAGGTCATGTGAAGAGGAGATGAAAGCATGTTAGCAGACGTGGGGCCAGATGAAAGCGTTGGTGGAGAACTGAACGCAATAGATACGTGCAACTGAAACCCTGTGTTCCTCTAGGAACTAAAGGAAACAATAATAGTAATGATAATGACTAGTTACTAATGCATCCTTTTTGTTGCTATAGAGTCATTTATTTGTTAACGGTGTACATGTTGTTGTAACTGAATTGTCGATGTGACTTAGTGTTTTTTCAATATTTTACTTATTAATTAAACAGTGAACTTATTATTATTATTATTATTACAGGGTGAGACGAAAGTATACACGAGAAATGGACATCATTTTTTGTCGACTATTTCAAGGCTTCCAGGTGGTGGTTTGGGTCAAAGTGATAGACAAAACTCTTCATATATGACACTACTAGATTGTATCTTATGGTCTTCAGAAGATAATGTCGATGTCAATTGTGAATCACAAGTATTAGTTCATCAGTTTCATGTGATTGATATCATCTATATGAGATCTACAGCTTATTCTCAACTATCTGTAAGTATTATTTATTAGTGTAACATTTTTTTGGCGGGGAGAGGGCGGGGTGCGAGGGATGATTTATTTTATTTCATTTTTGATTACAGTTTGATTCCACACCGTATTTTCAGTACAAACATGAAATTTTCAGCATATGATATCGGTAGCCCAAAATTTTGCAGACCGACCATTGGTATCAGGTGTGTGTCGGCAGGGGATCGAACTCCGGACCATGTGAATGGTCGGCGAGAGTCCTAACCATTGTGCCACCGACGCACATATCATAACAGATATACTATTACCTTTGTTATTTGGTTTAATGATTGATCTTCATTGTTATTTTGACTTTCAATATGTTCCTTTAACTTAACCTAAGTCTTTGTTATATTTTTGGTGAGATTTTGTAAATTCCGGTTTAATAATACTTTGATAAAGCCATTAGAAGCAGCATTAAGTAGCGAAACGTCAGTAAAAACAATATCATTTTGTCTTTCATTCATCGGGAAATACATAAACCTTTACTATAATTATTTGAATAGTGATAATAAGGGTGACAAGGAGAGGGAAAGACATAATAAAGCATGCAAAAGTATGAGATGATTCCGACCCCGATGACCTTTTAGTAGACTGATGTAAACACAGTGGATGAATGTACTTTTTGCACACAGATGTTAGGGCTTTGTCCTTATTGATTCCTATAGCCTAGAGAATATAATCGTGTATCTTTAAGGCAGATTTTTGACACTCGATGCCCAACAGTAAATGACTCGTCATCTATCTTTATGCGATGTTCACTATCCTTTAAATGAGATGAGATGACTCTAATTACTGAATTTCTTTCTTCCTTTTTGAGCCTAACTGGTACATGTTCACGAGAGTGTACAGTTTGGCACGAAAAAGAAGAAGAAAACAAATCGATCAACATTACCCTCTTATCTCATTTAGAGGATAGTAGACACACCACATCAAAATTGTACATCTTCCATGTTAGGTGGTATAATAAGGCGACTATTATTTAGATTAGACGTAGAGCTTTAGGTGAGGAGGGAAAATCAATTGATGTGGATGTGAAGCTACATTGAGTTGGCTGGAAGATGCGTTATATGCATTCCTAGCCGCCGTCTCTCCTTTGACAGTAAGTTTGATCTGGCCACATAGGGAGGTGTAAACTGTGTGACTGGGGTCCTCAGGATGGTGAGAACCAACGGTGTGAGAGAGGATCGGTGATGTGGTTCAAAATTGTTCTCATTGGTGTAGTTACAGTTACTCTCTCTCTACGATCTTCCATATCCAATAAACTTTTATTGCTTCCCTGTGTTACCATTCTTCCTCCCTCATGTTTAATTTGAGTGTTGTTCTTTCGAATCCATTTTTATCTTTTTTGTCTCTTTCTGTGTTGTACATGGAGTGTGACAACTCAAACTGTTTTCACTTCTACCAATTCATGATTTAGCGCGACAATGGTTGGGGTCCCGCTAAACCACAAATTGGTAGAAGTTAGAATTCATGAGCCATTGAATCGGGTCCCTGTGGCTGAATGGTATATGAGCCAGCTCGTCTTGTAATTGGAAGGTCCTGGGTTCGAAGCCTAGCAGTCGGTGCATACTGCCTATGACTCCCAAACTAGGATGAAACAGCTGTCCAGTACTCCTTGCCTGTTTTCAATGGTTCTCTAGCTGATATCAATCCATGGTCAACGGGTAAAAACAAAACTAACCCTTACAAACCAAACTATGGAAAATTAATCTGATGCTCACTAGTGACTTGATAAAGGATGGAGTTTCCTGGAGTCCTAGTGAGAAGTTGAGACCAATGAGGTCCATTCAGATGTCACGTGTGAGGATGGATGCTTCACCGACGACAATGGTTGGGGTCGCGCTAAATCACGAGTCGGTAGAAGTTAGAATTCATGAGCCATTGAATCAGGTCCCAGTGGCTGAATGGTATACGAGCCAGCTTGCCTTGTAACCAGAAGGTCCTGAGTTCGAACCCTGACAGTGTGGTAAGTGCGTACTCCCGATGACTCCCAAACTAGGATGAAACAGATGTCTAGTACTCCCTATCTGTTTTCAATGGTTCTCTAACTGATATCAATCCGTGATCAACTCGTAAAAACATAACTAACCCTTACAAACCAAACTATAGAAAGTTAATTATTATTCAAGTTTTCAAGAGGTTTTAAACCATCTTTCTATACCTGGTAGTGTAAATTGTTTCCACAAAGTACTTCCTTTGTATGTGCGTATGAAAAAGAAAATATCTCAGGAACGACACTCTTAGCTGTTGTTATCTTCAAACTTCAATTAAAGAAAAATTTCGAAATTTCTGTCAACAGACTAATAAAGTCCAATAGGTTTCCCACATAACTAATATACATGTATATATTGTTTTATCAATAATAATAAGGATGATAAAGTGAGGCAATCTGTGATAACACGAATAATGAAAAAAAAACAGTATGATTAAAGAAACAAATGTTCAGATGGAAGTAGTCGATAAAGGCTAGTAAAAACAAATGAACTGATTAAGTAATGCTAGATTGATTGTAAGGGAAGTAAATGAAACGCCTTTTTAATGAAGATGTGATAAGATTAAGGGATGATAAGAAAGGCGATGAAAATATAAACAAGGGGTGGTGTAGAAGTTACTACTTGGTTATGTCTTAATAGGCTAAGCAAGGGAGGGATAATGGTTGTACGAACTTCTTTTGAATGGACAGTTTAGGTTTAATAGTTCGAATGCCTATCGCCTCAGCTGTGTGAAGTAGATGAATACGAAGTCTATTTGATAGATTCAGTGGGATACGATGAATTACTTTGAAGGCTCTCTTGTTTTCTCCATTACATGACCACTACCAACTAAATGTGACAATATTGAGCTACGGGTTGTTTTTGTCTGTCCTTTGCCAAACCACGTTGAAATATGTTCAGTAGTGACACGTTGACTAAGCTGTCTAGTAGTACGCCCAACATAACTGTCACCGCAGGTGTAGTTGAATTGATAAATGCACATAGATATGTGGCAAAACTATCAAGCTTATCCTTCGTTTGCGTCCCAATCATTCGTCGGCTGGAGAATAACAAACATAGGTGTACTGCGTAAAATGTTCTTCGTATACTCCTAGAAAGTCTCTGGAAAAAAATCTCACTTGATAAGTCACCATTACATTGTAACTTAATAAACAGAGGGTTTTTACATGCAGTCATAGTCTGAGGTTTTCTCTCTGATGTTTTCATAGGTTTCTTTAAGACACTACTCGGATAGCCCATCTCCGTCCGTGAATATGTAATCAAATTCGTTTTGTAAGAGGTCATCCGTACATATCTTCCTTGCTCTGCTCGTAAGACATTATCAAGGAGTTTGATATGTATCCATAGCTCAATTTGTCACATTTAATTGATAGTGGTCATGTAATGGAGAAAACAAGAGAGCCTTCAAAGTAATTCATCGTATCCCACTGAATCTATCAAATAGACTTCGTATTCATCTACTTCACACAGCTGAGGCGATAGGCATTCGAACTATTAAACCTAAACTGTCCATTCAAAAGAAGTTCGTACAACCATTATCCCTCCCTTGCTTAGCCTATTAAGACATAACCAAGTAGTAACTTCTACACCACCCCTTGTTTATATGTTCAACCCCTTTTCTTATCATCCCTTAATCTTATCACATCTTCATTAAAAAGGCGTTTCATTTACTTCCCTTACAATCAGTTTACCATTACTTGATCGGTTCATTTGGTTTTACTAGCCTTTATCGACTACTTTCACCTGAACATATATATTGTTGTCTAATCCTCCTCATATAACGGTATTATATATATATATATATATATATATATATATATATGTAGTCTCCGTATTCATTTTAATAATCTATATTTTAAAGATTATTACTCTCGTTAATTGTGAGCGCGCCAATCACGAAACATTTGAACGCAAACAAAAAAGAGAGATTAAGAACAATCAAATTATGATTTTTTTTATTGTTCTAAACAAAAAATATTCAGGAAAACAAAACAGTTGATTATAAGGGAGGCGTGGGGGCAGTGGTGTAGGAGGAGAGCTCTAGACAAAAGAGAGGGAGAAAGCAGTTAATCGAAACATATATACGCATTATTGACAAGTTCATTGGATTTTTAATAAACTCAACTTAAGGTGGTGGTGTTGGTGGGAGTAAATAACACAGGTAGAATGTAGGTACAGAAATAAAACTATAATTAATATATATTTCGGAGACATTCCTTTCTAGTAGTGAATTTTAAACAAGCGTAAAAACTGTGGTAAAAAACCTAGTATTTAGTGAATTCATAAATTTTGACTAGGAGGACTCGTCAACTGAATACTCCTCTATAAACATTGTTATTTATCTTTACGAGTTTCACCACGGATCGATATCAGTTATAGAAGCATTGAAAACCAGCCACAGGGAGTACTGGACAGCTGTTTCGTCAGCCTAGCTCGGGAATCATCGGCAGTACACACTCACTGCCAGGGCTCGAAGCTAGGCAAGGCAAGCTTATATACCATTCAGCCACTGGGAACCGATTCAATGGCTTTAATGGTATACTAGCTTGCCTTGTAACCTGGTGGTGGGTACGTACTCCCGATGACTCCCAAACTAGGATGAAACAGATGTCTAGTACTCCCTATCTGTTTTCAATGGTTCTCTAACTGATATCAATCCGTGATCAACTCGTAAAAACATAACTAACCCTTACAAGCCAAACTATAGAAAATATGATCTATAGGTTTTGTGAGTGATAATCTGTTGACGCCATTAAGAAGGGAATACTATTCATCAAAGTTTAGGTTAACAATTTAACTGGAGTTATATTGCGGTGGAATTAATACAAGTATAAACATCCAGACTTTATAATACTGAATTACAAGAAAACTTCGTAAAAAACAAACAAATAAATAAACCAGTATAGGACAGAATAACAAGATATTAACATGTGTTTGATCTAAACTCCTAAGATGGTTTGAAGACTCCTCACCAAGGTTTAATACTCA